GACTACGTCTCTCTGGACACAGACGTTGATGTCTCGGTTTTCGAAACAAACATTCGAGTGCTTGGGTAACGTCCCTACTTTTTACCTCCTTGCATTCGTTGAATTTATTTTTTTCCTCAACTCACTTGAATTCTTTTTGAGATTTTCACCATTAGCACATGTCACTTATCTGACAGTAAACCCTAGCTATGGAAGCGGTTGTTGGCATCCACTTCATGCCTTACCTGAAGGATCTTTGCTTACTCTTAACTAGTCTATTAATTTTTCGTTACAGTTACCATAATATTGCCTCGTCATGCGTGATATTCTTAACCTGCTTCTGGTATCCGTTCATTTAAGTATTTAAACTGTTTAACTATTTGAACTGCTGACATGGGCCAGGGACCAGGAAAAACATACGAAATTGTGTCTTAAATAAAGCAACACGATGTTATTTATGTTTATATTATGAAAGCACCTTGGATCAAGTTCTTACCCCCAGACACCGCTTGGAAGCTACAAGAATTTTAATCACTATCCCTTAAACATTTTTTATATAACCGGAGCAATTTCATGGTTTCGGATGAGGTTTTACTACTTTGACCGACTGTGGCTATTTTGTCCTGCACTTCCTGCAAAACTTTAAACTGCCTTATGCTGGTCGGACGTGTCTATAGCTCCAGCTTTACTATGAGGTCGCCCAACGTCTCCAAAGTCAATAGCAGTCCCTCTGTGATTTTCCAGTCTTGCAAATATTTATGTGGAACATACTTTTTGGAGACGTACGAATTTTTAACAATCGGCTTCGGTTCTTACCTGCTATGTTATCGTTTGGTCATACCATCCCATCCGAGGACATGCCCATCTACTGTGTGAGCTGTGTCATGAAGTGAAGCATTTGGGGTAAAAAACCGCAACTCCAAGTACACCCGATTCGCATCGGCCAAGGAGCTTTAATGGGATTACGATTATTATTTATTATCTTAGACACGAAAAATCCATCTACTTTAGCACGAGCGATGCAATAGAATTTATCTGAAAGAAGCCAATGTGAAATAATGTCAACTACAACAGCTCAGTACTCTATACTGTTCTTTAGGTCTATCAAACAATGAA